CACAAAAGTCTGAATGATTTAAAGCAGCACCACTGTAGTCATTTTATACCGAGATTGCTGTAAACAGTCTTTTTTGTATATATGCAAATGCAAAAACGCATATTGTGACGACCCATGGCGTACGTGTGTATGTGTGTGTGTGTTTGTGCGTGTTTGTGTGGGTGTGTGTGTGTTTGGCTGTGTGTGAGTGAGTTTGTCAAGGCATTTCAACTCGGCAACCACGCAGGTTTCGGCGCCAAATTTTGCCGATGGGCTCCCTGGCTAAGTGCCACCCCAGAGCCGCGGCACCAACGCCCGCGCATGTTTCGACCACGTGGAAGTTTCGGCGGGAAAGCTGCTAACTCGGGAATCAAAAAAGCTGGGAGGCTGAAATTTTCAGGATATGTTCACCGTCCATGCAGATTTCAAATATTCCAAATTCAGCCTTCGGGTGCGCATGGTTCTCATGTATGACCCCGTGAAACTTTTTGGAGGAGAATTGTTAACTCGGGAACCAGAAATTTTAATGGATTGTTCCCTGTCCAAGTATCTCGTTGTTATAAAATTGACTTCTCGAACTTCGAGAACCTATGTGTCACAATTTCTTGTTACTGGGTTTGCGAGCGATCTCATTATAATACGAAATATTGCAAAAACGTATGATCGCACGGGTACACCTGGTACGCGTCACCAATCATTTTGTATATTTCGTGTTAGTGATGTTGCTGGGATATTCCTACAAATGTCAAGCTCAGCTGTGATGCCAGACCCTCTGATTGTGCGCTGAAAAACTGTGTTAAGAGTAGTTAAACGTAATCTTTTTCGCGAGGGTTGCCCGAGTGGTCGTTTACTTTTCTCATGGCTACTGCTGATAGAGGATAAGACTTATCGCATTCATGTGTTTTTTTCTTTCGTAACGAATTTCAGTACTTTATCCGTATTTCAATTTTCCAATGAAAGTAAAAAATTAATTATTTGAACAGGTATGTTTCGGCCCATTTAGTCGTTGCATGCATCTCTAATCTTGAGTAGCCTCTATCACAAAATGCATAAAACGATTGTTCATCACAATCTTCTCTTCAGATGTTTATTCATCAAATAGGGCATAATATGTTATGCATTTGATTAGGACAAACAAACGAAAAAAGGTAAAATATACATATTTGGAGAAAACGTATAAAAGAATTAAGCGAAAAATGGTCGGAAGTAATTTTTGTGAGGAAACTGGCAGTAATTAATATATCAGTAATAAGTATTATTGTTCTTCATTTCTCCGGAAAATTTCGTACAGTTTTCACCGCAGTGACTTTTGTTCTTCTAAGATACTTCTTTGCCTAACAATCTGACAGTTTCAAGTGGCCAACAATCCGTACATGCTGCTCGTGGCGCATATTTTGAACGAGCGCAAAAATAAGGTCCAACTGGTCATTCTATGTCCAACGCACAAATTTCTGAAATATCAATGGTTAGCTCGAGATACATTCATGATTAAGACCAATAAGATTTGGAAAATGACCCCGTACTAGGGAGGCGCCGGTCACTTGCCCATTTCTCTCCTTTCCTTCCGCCACTGCTTTTCCCTTCTTGTCCATTTCTCCTCAATCCTCTACCTTCCCTCATCCGCCTGGCGCAAGTGTTTTGTCACTTCCCAAGAGATTACCTTGACCGCGGACCGCCGATCTTTCCTGTAGGCTACGCTCAGGCCTTTTTCGTTTTCTCGCACCGAGGAACTGGCCATCAGACAGGCTGTTGGTTCACTCTGAAAAAAATCACAATTCACATCCATTAGCACTCCATGACTTTGGTTTCCTCGCTTGGAGCAGTCACGTGAGAAGTCACGTAAGAGTGGCCGATCCTTCGATCCCGCCGGTGGCTGTCCTGGTGAGCAAACAGGTGCCATCGTAGGAGCTTCGTCTTGATGACTGTTCCGAAGCCGAGACAAAGATTTGTGCTGTGTCCCAGCAAATGAAGCGGCTGTTGAATTTGAGGTATAGTTACTGGTCAGTAGAAAGCTGACCTTTTCCTGGGAGGAGAGGCAAGGGTCAGGTGCTATCTACATGCCCGGCATGTAAGAGAGGTTATTGCTCACTGCTTAAATTATGAATCATAGAGAGGCGTTGCGCAGATTTAGTCCTTCATAAGGGTCATCCCTAGTCCTTCATAAAGATCATTCCTTAAAGGTCATTCCCCATAAGGTTCATTTCTTGTGAAGGACTAGCTGGATTAAAAGAACAGTTGTAACTTTTACAAAATTAGAGAAGTTTACGTAACTCTGTAGTGGGAAGTGGTCAAATTATTCTATGTACAGCAGCAGAAGTTTGGTGTAGACTTGCTATATTTTGATTATCAGTTGTGACACCGTAGTACAGCATTTGGTTTCTACAGGATGGCCAAAAACCCGTAGTTTTTGGATAAGTCACTGAAAGTTAGTGCGCTGTGATACTGCGCTAAAAGTATAATTAATATGATTGCGACGCAAGATAGTGTTCTAAAGCAGTAAAACTACAAAAGTAATGGAAGTGTTCGACAACTGCGCGAGATGAAGGTCAGAGGAATTTTTGGGTGCTTATTTTTGACAAAGAAGTGGAAAAATTTTTTTTAGCTAAACAGGTAGGGGACCAACAAAGCCGGTTAAAACCCAACCAAACAGTGTAGCATGCGCTCAAAAAAGCCGCTTTAAATTCAACAATTGCGTGCAGGGTTTAACTATAATGATCCGTCGAAATTATGCTCAACAGTCTAAATATTATTGCTTTTCTTTTTTAACTTTACCGTATTGCTGATACTTTAAATAATTTAGGCTAGAACACACCAGGCGGGCCGGTGCAGTTATGCGTTTTTGCACTATTTCGTGCTGTAGCAAGATCGCAAGAAATCACAGTAGCTAAAATTTGTGATGTAGTGGCCGTCGAAGTTCAGGAAGTCAACTATGCAGCTCTGTGGTGTGTCAGTCGCAGTTGTCGATTTTAGTGACCTCATACGGAAAATTTCTGGTGCGCGAAAAAACTTCACTAGAAGAGTTGGATCTGAAATTTTTTAAAAAGATGGCTGGAATTTTAGGGAAATCTCTCCTATTCATGAGTAACTGAAAGATTTCGCGTCAAAAATATTCACGGGCCGCACGTGGGGATTACGCACGCCCGGGAGCTGAATTTAAATTCTTTAAGGAGCATTCCCTTAAAATTTTAACTTTCCAACTTCCCAGATTTCTGAATTAGCGGTTTTCCTGCCAAAACTTTCACACGGTCGTACGTTGGGCCCAAACGTGCGCAAGAGTCGGTACCGCTGTCCTGAGATGGCACTCGGATAATCCACTGACAAAATTTTGTCTCCGAAACTTGTTGATTGCTGAGTTGAAGTACCCAGATAGATACAGACACACCCACATCGAGGTCATCGTAATATGCGTTTTTGCATTTGCATATATGCAGAAACGCATAAAAACTAGAAGTACATACTGCTGGCTTTCACATACTTCGGTGCATTTTTACTGGATGTAGAAATTCTCGCAAATTCCAAAAATATTTTTCGCCGATGCATCAAGAATTTTCCAGAAATTTCGAAAAAATTCTAGAAATTTCTGGAAAATTCTTGAATCCTCTCGATTCGTCTGGATGTTTGTTGGTGGGCGGGACTTGTGCAGTAGAAAAGCAAAGAAACGCAAAAATATCACGGGAAGAAGGGGTCCAGAATGATCTGGAAAGTGAGGGGACATTCTCGACGTGCTTGCCGATCCGCTATATAAGCGCATGCACTCACGTGAGTAGAATCAACTTCAGTGGAAGAACTCCTTGGATTTCAAGCTTTATCTTCATTGCTTCCTTAATCACTGCGGTCAATTGTCGTCTCATTTGCCATGGCTTTGTTTGCGTACCGACCGTGCAGCGCCGTTTGGCGCCCGTTCCCCGTGGAGTGTGAGTTCCAGTGGCCGGCTTTCCCAACGGAGCGTCAAGTGACACGTGCTTTGCGCCAGATGGATCGTATGCTCGGATCTGCGTTCGAGGAATGGCCTGTTGCGAACGAGAGCATCCGAAAGGTAAGTTTTTGAAAAGTCTTATAAAAAACACCGTCAGTGATAGCTGTTCGTCACGCGAGAAATTTTCGAGTTTTTCGCCCCGTCGTGTAATGCGTGCCTTGCTGCGGGAACTGCTTCTCACGTAACTCACAGCGTTCCGCCTGGCCTCAAGGAAACCTCGTGTTTGTAAGTTAGAGGGCCTGGAGGGTGGAATATTCTTCCAAAATTTCAGCCTCCTAACTTTCTGGGTTTCGAGTGATTTTTGCGACAAAACTAAAAATTATTACTGTGCTACATTTAGTTACTGACTACGATTTTTGCAACAGAAATTGACGAATGGCCTGTTTTCCAAGTTCCAACATTTAACAGTGTCGCGTTCATTTCAGGTAACCGATGAGAAGGGCAGATTTGCCGTCGAGTTGAATGTCAGTGCGTTCCGCCCCGAAGAACTGGCGGTGAAAATCCGTGATCGAGAAGTGTCCATTGAGGGACATCATGAAGAACGCAGCGACCAGCACGGGAGTGTCGAGCAACATTTCGTCCAGAAATTCTTGTTGCCTGGGAGCGCGCTGCCGGAAAGTGTGGAATCAAGTCTCTCAGATGACGGAATTCTCAGTGTCACTGCTCAGAAGAAATGCGCCGTCGAAGAGGTGCAGTCCAGAAACATCCCCATTCAGTCAATTAAGAACTGAGAAGCTCTGAATTGGATCTCTCGGGATGTATTATTGAATTCGAATTGTTTACGTGATTTTGTATTTTGATTGTTGACGAGATATGTAATTGTTAACGTATTTTTTCAGTATTTTTCGTTGTTTCTGTGCTGACATTTTGTTACATATTGTGCTTTAACCGTACAGCGTTCATTTTGCTGAAAATCCTATCAAAATAAAAATTTTCCCCCTCTATTTTTTTTGCTATGCACGCGATTCAAAATCAAGTCCGAAGTGGAAGATCGCCTGCTGCTTTACATCAGCTGGATCGCCATGTTCGTCATCCAGCCTATTTGGTACGAGCAAGAATCATGGGAGTATTTTATCCTACCAGTTGCGTGACTGAAATGTTAAGCCGCCAACATCGTTGCCACGAATATTACCAACATGATGTCGAATAACTCATTTCAACACTCGCGAAATATCCCAGAGTTCTCAAAGCTCTGATTCATATGATGCGACCGCATGGGGGCGAACACGAATATTCGCAGAAGGGAGACCCTGTCTATATGTGTGTCCGGATATTTCAACTCAGCACCCAAGTAAGCTCCGGCGCCAATATTTTGCTAGTAGATTCCCCGGTCAAGAGCCACCCCAGGATCGCGGGACCAGCCTCACGCAAGTCTAGGCCCTGCATACGAGAGGGCGGAGGGGGGACGAAATTTTGGCGGGAAAATTGATAACTCGGAAACCAGGAAAGATAGAAAACTGAAATTTTGAGGTTATGTTCCACGTTTGCATATAACTCAAGGATTTCAAATTCAGCCTCCAAAGGTGCATAGTCCCTGCGTATAACCCCGTGAATTTTTTGGCGGGAAAATGGCTAAGTCAGGAACTAGTAGAGCTAGGAGGCTGAAATTTTCAGGGGACGTTCCCAACCAACCTACGACTTAAAGTTATCAAATTCAGTCTCCAGTCGTACGTGGTTCTCGCCTACGGTCCCATGAAACCTTTTTGGCGGGAAAATGGCTAATTCGAGAACCAGAAAAGCATAGAAAGCTGACATTTTAGGACAATATTCCCTTTCCCAATATAAATTGGAGGTTTGAAATTCAGCCACCATTTATGAGTGGTTCTCGGGCAATTAAATTTTTGGCGGGAAAACGACTCATCGAACAGCTGAGTCATTTTCAAATAAAAACGACCGCTAAACGGAAATTGTTCATTCTCTTCTGTGCAAAATTTACGGTGATTTACGGTATTGAGCGTACAGGGTAGGTGTGAAGAAGCAATCGTTTATGCAGTTAACCTAATTACTTCAAGTTTGGTGCAAAAACTCATGATCGCACCAGCTCGCCTGGTGCGTTCTAGCCCAACAATGAAGCAGAAATGCATAATAACCATATTATTATTGGAACAAAGAATAATACCTTTCTCGGTATAGTTGACTAATATTAGAAACTACACCAATAATAGAAACTGCATCACAGTTTCTATTTTTGCTCAACTAGACCAAGAAGGGTGCTATTTTACTGCATTAACTATGAAAAGAAACAAAATTTTTAACTTGAGTTTAGTAATCGCCTTTTTGAAATCAATGGAAATGGCTAAAGGCTATCTGCAAGAAAATTGCCACTACTTGTACAATGAAAAGACGGACCGAAGAGCATTTGGAGGCGACAAACAGTAGTTGGTGATAAAAATTCTAGCCGTCTTAGAACTGTAATATTTCATCTCAGTAAAAAGCTTCAACTTTCTAGCTTTTCTTGCTCCCGAGTTAGCAGTTTTCGGCCAAAAATTTCACTTATCCGTATGTGGGTCCCAAATGACTTTAAGACGCTAAACCTTTTGATTGTAGATGGTAAGGGAAATTCCTCCAAAGTTTCAGCTTTCTAGCTCTGCTCGTTTCAGAGTAGTAGCTTTCCCACTAACATTTTCACGTGTCCGTATGCGGGTCTCGGGCGGCTCCAAGCACCTGAATTTGAAGAGATCTGGTAGTACATGAGTAGTGATTATCCTAAAGTTTCAGTTTTCTAGCTTTCCCGAGTTAACGATTTTTCTGGAAAAAATTCCATGTGCCTATAACTGAGACGTGAACGCGCGGCACTTGAAGTCACGTTCCTGAGGTCGCATTTGGCCAGGGGATACACAGAAAAAATTTCAGCTTCAAAGCTAACTACTGAGCACAAACGCCCGAACAGACGAACACGCACAAACACAAATAAACGCACAGACGACCCCGTGACAATACGCATTTTGTGCAGCTGTTGCATAGCACAAAACGCATAAAAACAGTGTTTGGTTTAAAGGTCAAGAAACGTCACCCGTGTAGATTACTTCGTAGCAAAAAAAACTGTTACAGTGTTACTATTTGAAGTTATGAAGTGATCAGTGGCCAACATTTCTACCTCGAGATTTCTGCGATAAGCCTGCCACTCAGTGCAGATTCTGCGGTGCTGCCGGCATTTTTAAAAATGCCGAATAGAATAGGCTGTGTGCCAAACACAAAAGCGAATGTGGCTACATTGACTAAAGCAAAACAATGGACGCTGACCAGATGGAGGCAAAAGTCCCGAAGATGAGTGGCGCGTTTCTGTGTCTCCAGAAAGTTTAATCAGTGAAGTGCCGAAAATGTTGCGTATTTTGCAAATATTTATTAGATACGTCGCATATTTTGTAAATATTCATATTTTGCAAATATATGCTACATGCCGCAAGGACAAAATCGAACGCGAACGAGCTGCTGCTACACTCCCGCCAATGTGTTGATCGATGATTGTACTGCTGTTACTAAAAACTCACTTGGTCGTAAGTAGGACTGACCTGTTTGAGGTTAGGAGGGGTTGTTGTTCTTGTTATTTTCAGTACCACTTTTGGCTCAGTTTCGTTTCTGGAGCTTTTGGGGTTTGGTTGGCTCCAGTTCTCGCTGTTTTTCTAATTCTCGTGTTGAAGTGCCCGGACAGACACAAACACACACGCACACCGAGGTCGTCACAATATGCATTTTTGCATTTGCGTGTATGCAAGAACGTATAAAAAATAAATGCACATGCTGCTGACTTTCACAACACTTCGGTGCATTTTTAATAAATTTACAAATTCTCGCAGATTCCAAAAATATGTTCCGCCGATGCATCGAGAATTTTCTGGAAATTTCGAGAATTTTCCAGAAGTTTCGAGAAAATTCTCGAATCTTCTCTATTCGTCAGGATGTTTATTGGTGGGTGGGACTTTTGCGGCAGAGAAGCATAGAAACACGAAAATAGCACGGGAAGTAGGTGTCCAGAATGTTCTGGAAAGAGAGGGAACATTCTTGACGTGCTTGCCGATCCGCTATATAAGCGCATTTACTCCTCACGTGAGTAGAATCAACTTCAGCGGAAGAACTCCTTGGATTTCAAGCTTTATCTTCATTGCTTCCTTAATCACTGCTGTCAATCGTCGTCTGTGAATTCGCCATGGCTTTGTTTGCGTACCGGCCGTGCAGCGCCGTTTGGCGCCCGTTCCCCGTGGAGCGTGAGTTCCAGTGGCCGGCTTTCCCAATGGAGCGTCAAGTGACACGTGCTTTGCGCCAGATGGACCGTATGCTCGGATCTGCGTTCGAGGAATGGCCCGTTGCGAGCGAGAGCTTCCGAAAGGTATGTTTTCGAAAAGTCCACTTTAGAAAAGTCCTTTCGAAATTTCAGCCTCCTAACTTTCTTGCTTTCGAGTAATTTTTGCGACAAAACTAACTTAAAATTATTACTTTGCTACATTTAGTTACTAACTACGATTTTTGCAACAGAAATTGACGAATGGCTGTTTCCCATGTTCTGGCATTTAACAGTGTCGTGTTCATTTCAGGTAACCGATGAGAAGGGCAGATTTGCCGTCGAGTTGAATGTCAGTGCGTTCCGCCCCGAAGAACTGGCGGTGAAAATTCGTGATCGAGAAGTGTCCATTGAGGGACATCACGAAGAACGCAGCGACCAGCACGGAAGCATCGAACGACGTTTCGTCCACAAATTCTTGTTACCCGGGACCGCGCTGCCGGAAAGTGTAGAATCGAGCCTCTCAGATGACGGAATTCTTCGAATCACTGCTCAGAAGAAATGCGCAGTCGAAGAAGTGCAATCCAGAAATATCCCCATTCAGTCAATAAAGAACTGAGAAGCTCTGATTTGGATCTCTCGGGATGTATTGTTGAATTCGAATTGTTTACGTGATTTTGTATTTTAATTGTTGACAAGATATGTAATTGTTAACGTATTTTTTCAGTATGTTTCGTTGTTTCTGTGCTGGCTTTTTGTCACATATTGTGCTTTAACCGTATAGCACTCATTTTGCTGATAATCTGATGAAAGTAAAATTTTCTCCATTATTTTTTTTGTTGTGCATGCTACTCAAAATCAATTCGAAAATGAAGGATCGTCTTATCGCGAACTTAAAGGTTAACTTGCGAGACTAGTGGCTTACCCTGTATGCGCATGTGTGTGTATATGCATGTATCGGTACTTCTGGTTGTACATTTATAAGTATACGCATTACCCAGGGTAATACAACAGAAGGTAAGATAAATAGAAAATACGAAAAAAGGGGCGGCGAGAGTTTGCAATGTTAGTAATCTCCGACCCGCGGGGGTCCGTGATCACTAAGATTGCAAAACTTTAACGGGATAGGGTGTTCAAAATTTTGAACCAGGGACCGGAGTACTGCTTCATAGTGATGCAACTGCTCCTTAAGCCATTTCTAACAAAAAACCATAAGTCATTATTCGACATATTATTTGACAGTCTGCTGATTTATGCCCGCTGTATAGTCATGTTCGTCATTCGGCCCATTGTTACGAGCGGAAATTCCGGGCATATTTCGTCCTTCCAGTTCCGTGGCTGAAACGTTAGGCCACCAACGTTGTTACTACGAATATTATCAGCACTGGGTCGAACAATTCACTTCTGCACTCGCGAATTATCTCAAAGCTCTGCTTCATGCACAGGCGAATGCAGGGAAGTTTCCTGGGGGTGAAGGAGGGAGGGGAGCGATTTTTCACCCCACCTTCATCATTACAACCCCCTCCCCCCCCGCTCGTCACTACACTCAATATCTCGCTGCCCTCCTCCCCCAGTCCTCTCACTACTCGAAGACTCCTGAGCGGGGAGAGGAGGGGGGAAGGGGACAACAAGGTGTTCCAAGTAGAATTTTCTACAGTAAAATACCTGGCACCTAAGCTCCTGGGGGAGGGAGCGAATACTGCTCTAAAGTTTCAGTTTTCTCACTCGTTTCGTTCCCGAGTTAACAATTTTCCGCAAAAACTTCCACATGTCCGCAATTGAGACGTAGACATGCATAACATTTGATATCACGTCCCTGAGGTCACACTTGGAGAGGGGAACACACAAGCAAGATTTCAGCTTTAAAGCTTGCGTGACTACTGAGAACATTTCCCTAAGGTTCCCCTAAGGTAGGGAACATTCCCCAAAGTTCCAACTTTCTAGCTTTTCTCATTCTCGAGCTATGAATTTTCCTGCCATAATTTTCACGTGCCAGTACGTAAGCCCCGAGCGGTCCTAGGCAGCTGAATTCGAAATCTTTTTGTTATACATAGGTAGGGAACACTCCCCTAAGGTTTCAGCTCTCTAGCTTTTCTCATCCCCGAGTTATCAGTTTTCCCGCCAAAACTTTCACGTGCTTGTGCACGGGGCCCAGAGGGGCGTGAGAGTTGATAACGCTGTCCTGGGGTGGCACTTGGCTGGGGAACACATTGACAAATTTCAGCTTCAAAGCTTGCGTGGTTGGCAAGCTGAAATACCCGGACACACACAGACACAGACACACACACACACTTACACTGACAGGGTCGTTGCAGCATGCACTGTTGCCTGCTGCTGCGTTCTAGCGCTGCACGGCAAAAACGCATAAAAACGCATAATAACTCCTTCTGACCTCGAATGGGTCAATCCCATCCAAAACAAGTGGGTGGGATTGACTTGTTTGAGATCAAGAGGCATTGTTGTTATTATTGCCATTGCTACTTTCAGCTCCGTTACATTTCTGGGACTTCTGGAATTTGGTTGATTCTGGGTTTCTGGTGCTTGGCGCAATTCTTCGTCTTTTGCGTTTTGTAGTTTTAACCTTTATCAGTCGTCTAACGAGCATTAAAACTCAAACACGCTGTTACGTGATCTACATGTTATTCGTGCGCCTTTGAAGTATACGCGATTGTTTCTGTGAGGCTTACATGTAGGTAGTCGGCATGTCATCGGCATATATGTAGACAATCGAAGAGGTACTTCTCCTTATATTATTCAAATTGTATTTCTTTTAAAATTTATAAACTGTTCAAATAGATGTATAATGTAATGGGTGTCGCTCGATTTATAGTTTTTTACAGCTAAGGGATGAAACACAGATTGCTTCCTAGCAAATTTTCATTGCGAATGATTTTTCGACTAATCCTTTATCTCTTCTTCTAATTATCCTATTTGGATAATCTGCGTAGCTAACAGACTAAAAAACAGCCGGAATTATTCCACTAATTTCTTAATATTATTTGCTTTTGTCTCCTTATTCCAACATTAAAACATTTTTCTAACACGTTGTATTTACAAAATTCGCCATCCAAGCACCGGGGAAGAGTCCGAGCCCGTTTTTTCCCGCCTCGGCAAAATGTCACACGAAATCCCCGCTTTTCGCGCTTCGGCAAACGCCAATGTTAGCCAAACTGAGTATTCGAAAATGTCCAGTTAACAGAGAGTCAGTGTGTGAAACAATCGGTATGAAATCCGACAAACACTGAAATCCGACAAGTCTCAGAATCCCTTAATGGCCGCAAGAGGTCAGTGGTTTTTGCCTC